GTTCAAAAGTGTCTTTCAGAATGCTGCCACAGACACTAGCTATTGCACCACTTATTTTGATGACAGTGTAATGGGCATGCAACAAAACTCATAAAACTCTAATTATAAGTGTGCTATAAGTCACCCAGCACAATTTCCACAGTTCAAGACAATATAACAATTGTACATGCCAAGATATTATGGTACGGATGTAGAAAAACAAAAACGTTTCAGCACCAGATTTAATAAATGAACTATAAACCTGAATGTTTAATGCAGCCTCAGAGCATAAAGCACACTGTAAATGTGCAGCTTTGTAATAACTCACTCCTACGCACACACTGGCTCATCCACACCTACGCATGGAGGAAGAGGGAAGGTGAAAGATCCACCTACGCACCTTCAAAACACACTGAGTGCACTCGAGTAAGGCTATTCAAACATGCGGCTTAGTCAGCAGATGGGCAGCACGCAACAAAAAACAATCCTGACATCCTCATCTGAACATCCAGGACAAAACTTGTTTTGTATCACTGCTCTAGGCAAAGATGTTTTATATATAATATATATGAGCAATATCACATGAGTAGGCCCCACTGGTGATGATATACAGGCATTTCGCACTGCTACGAGTGTGATATTGTGTTTATACAACAGTTTGACGACATAAATATTAAAAAGAAAATCAAACAGGAGAGTCTTTAAACTCTTTTGTATGAGGAACTACTTTCTTCCGCCATTCATTCACATCTGCAGCTGACGTCAGAACAGCATAAACCGTTGACAGTTCACAAAAGTCACACAGAGCTAGTGTTTGAATGATTCTCTAGCGTAATGTCTAAAGCAGGGGTCACCAATCTGTGGTGTCTGGTGTTCCTGGAGGGTTTAGCTCCAATTTTCTTAAACACACCTGCCTGGATGTTTTAAGTATACCTAGTAAGACCTTTATTAGCTTGTTCGGATGTGTTTGATTAGGGTTGGAGCTAAAATCCGCAGGACACCGGCCCTCCAGGAACAAGTTTGGTGTCCACTGGTCTAAAGTGATGACAATACAGGTGATTTTGCTGACATTTTAAGATTATGCCATCAGTCTACAGAGATTTCCCAGTATTTTTCTTTTGCAATCAGGATTTCACAACAATTAACCCCGAAAAGCATGAGCAAAGCAACCCTACCAGTTTCTGTGGTATAAATACAGCACAACAAAATACAAAACAGAGAGATGGACTCACTTACCTAATTTATAATGATTTGTTTAGCTGTAGTTTTAGCTGTAGTTTGAAACTTATTGTGAGAAAAGGCTGTTTTTCTCCCCTAAGCACTTACTATGGTGTCTCTGTCTCCATCTTGTGGCAGAACGTCAACCGTCACTGCTCAGACAGGCAGATGGCAGCCGATGCACTAAATCCGATGTTCCAAAATTATAAATACTTAAAAATAAGCACTATCCTTATAAATAAACTGCATAGTTGCAATCTTAACAACTACATTCTTGACTAAAAAAAGCCTCAAAAGTGCATCATGTTGTCCAACAGCAGCAATATTTGTCAAACTAAAGTGTCCTCTGCTTGTTGCTATACTGTATGTGGGCGGAATAATACAAAAGGGTGAAGAGGCTCTACTAGTGATGTTATTTGCAGAATATAGCACGTCTATCAGCCAATCAGATTCAAGAACCAGACAGAACTGTTGTATATGCATAAATACATATACTGTACACTATAGAAAATATCTGTTAATTAACAAATTTCTTATTTTGTTTTTCACACGTGTTCTCTGTTTATCTATGATTGTGAATTGCATTATTTAACTCTACAGTTTAACAAAGTGACTTTTGATGACATTTTATAAATAATATAATGTTAAGAAAATAATATATAAAGAAATAAGCCTGAAGTTTATTACAAGGTTTTTGTACTGAAATATATACAACACTAACCCAGAAAATATCACTTCAAACTTTTACAAATATTAATAAAAATCACTTTTTTTGCACTTTTCGAAGGTTAAATGTTGTCATGAAAGATCAAGGTTCCATAATGCAATTGAAATGCAGAAATAAATGGGGAAAAATAAAAACATGATCAAGAAATAAAGCAAACTGATAATTTCATGGATATTTTTACAATGTACATTTATACTCCTACGATATAAAATGTCTTTATGAAACCAAATATAAAACAAGGCTATGTATACTTTGTTTATAAAAAAAAAACTATGAGAAGAGAGAAAGCAAAAGAAACGATCAAAGCTTCTGTGTCAGATCAAAAGCAGGATAGATCTGTGTGCTTTTATAGGTTGACGTCAAGGTTTCCTGAAAGATTAAAACAATAATGCTTTCATTCTAATCCTCATATCTAATCTATACTTTTTTCTTCTTTTTTTGCACTACTGATAGTGGCATACAATGTTTGAGGTCAGTAGAACAAGCAAAACACTAGAAATCATGCTTGTTTTATTTATAAACAATGGAAATGTCTCCATCCAGTGGATCTCTAAAAATGTTTCCAAGTTCACAGTGAATTAAAAGTCATTCATAATGCACTTGAAGGCTGAAGTCAGTCCTGCTCATGTATTCTACTGTGCTGATAACAGAATAAACTATTCAACATCTGGATTCAGTCTATTTATCTGCAATAAACTGCAATGACATTTAAAACAATAAAGAGAAAGATAAAAAAGAACACAAACAAAAATCAAGACCAATGAAAATGTGAGATGAAAATGATTTGTGTCTGGCTTAAAATGTATGCAAAGCTCTTGTTAATGTGGCTGGGGTTCATTTTATCAACAGTCAAAATTTCATGCAAATATCTGACCGATAGATTTGACATTGTGCATCTGATGTTACATTTATGTAAATCCATTAAGCATTGTGCTTAAGGTATATAGAGTTGAAGTCAGAATTATTACCCCCCCGCCCCCTGAATTATTAGACCCCTGTTTTTTTTCCCCCTAATTTCTGTTTAACGGAGAAAAAAAAATTTCAGCACATTTTTAAACATAATAGTTTTAATAACTCATTTCTAATAACTGATTTATTTTATCTTTGCCATGATGATATTAAATAATATTTGATTAGATATTTTTCAAGACACTTCTATACAGCTTAAAGGGACATTTAAAGGCTTAACTAGGTTAATTAGGTTAACTAGGCAGGTTAGGGTAATTAGGCAAGTTATTGTATGACGATGGTTTGTTCTGTAGACTATCAAAAAACATTAGCTTAAAGGTGCTAATAACTTTGTCCTTAAAAATAGTGTTTAAAAAATTAACAACTGCATTTATTCTAGTCTAAATAAAACAAATAAGACTTTCTTCAGAAAAAATATTATTAGACATACTGTGAAAATTTCCTTGGCCTGTTAAACAATTTAGGAAATATTTAAAAAAGAAAAGTAAATTCTAAGGGGGGCTAATGATTCTGACTTCAACTATACGTGTCTTAACTTCTGTATATTGCAAATATTCACTAACATCCTAATCAATTAAACATCTCTGATAATCATCCATTCATTAATTTTCCTGTGGCTTATTACCTTTATTCATCAGGGGTCACCACAGCGGAATGAATCGCCAACTTATCCAGCATGTGTTTTACACAGCAAATGCCCTTCCAGCTGCAACTCAGTACTGGGAAAAAATCTCTGATATATTTAACATAAATCTTACAATTTTTAATATGTATAAATTAAATCTTATATTATATTTTAAATTACTTTAGACAGTTTTATTTATGAAAAAATGCATAAAAAGATTCTATTTTTTACAGTGTGTGCCAAAGGTCTATATGTGCTCTAATGTTTATTTCATTATTATTTATGCATGAGACAAAACACTTGAGAAAGTGCTTTGAATCCAAGCCACAAACAAATTTTTCTAATTTCCACAATTTCTAAATGCATAATGCTGCCACATTTCCATTGTTTATTTAACATCGAAAAACAACAGTTTGGAAAATGCACAGTTTGATTAAAAATGTGTATTTTTAAGAGTTCACACTTAGCTGATGATTGATATTAAAGCTTGTTTGGCATGCTGTCACGGAGAGAGCCCTGAGCTCAGAATATCCTAGAGCCCGGGGCTCCCTCCCATTTGAAGGGCAAGAGGAGAGTTTCTCGAGAACTCCCCTTTTGGCGAACTACTGAGATATATCTCGCTAAGAGTTGCCTTAGGGGGATGTTATTTTGAAGTAGTCAATTCAGTTATGGTGTATGTCTTTGGACGGTGGGAGGAAACAGGAGAACCCGGGGAAAACCCACATGAAGAACACGCAAACTCTGCACAGAAACGCCAGTGTTCTTGCTGTGAGGCAACAGTGCTACCCACTGGGATACCGTGCTGCCCTATCAGAGAAGGGGAGGAGTAGGTGGAAAGGGGGATTCTTCAAGATGAAGATGACTGGAGTAAAAAGCTCTGGTAATTTATAGTGTGTCAGTATCTGATTGGTGCAAATTTATAGAGCGATACCAGCTGTGTTCAATCATAAGCACATGATCCTCTCGAAATTAGTTTATAAATAAACCACACGTAAGTACATATAAATATTTTTACTCAGTGCATACTAAGCTATTTAATCTTTTCTGGAAAGCAATCATTTAGTAGCTTTGCAAAAAAAAGCAGCACAAAATAACCAAAATAAACCAATGTAATTATTATGATTATTGTTTAATAATAATTAATTAACTGATTAAAATATAAGAAATTTAAAAAAGCCAACAATTAACAAAAGAACACACACAAGGTGGATGCAGCTCTAGTAAACAGCCTCTTATACTTCAATACTGAATGTAATTTAAAACCAACTTCAACACTGAGGTGAAACCAAAACATTTTCATGTAAAGCCCGAATGAATCTTGATGTAGACCCCTAATTTACATGCGAAGCACAGGAAAGCTGATGGCAGGACAGTGGGGTGTGGCGTTTTACTCATGTACGTGTTGTTGGTTGACCATTTAACCATCATAATCACTGGCCACTGAGAGAATCTCATCACATCAAAACAAGAAGACCCTCAGAAATGCTTCTACTGAGGTCAGTGCGGCTATTTCACATTTTGCTTTAATTCACTTACATGTCATAGTGAAAAACTGTTTACCTTCTAGGATGAAGAACAAGTGGACTTTTCTGGTGCTCTGTGGCATTCTGGGGTCTGGACTCGGCGACAACCCATCATGGTTCAACAACATCACTACAAATTTTTTCAAATCTCCTGGAGATATTCTCATTGGAGGACTATTTCCCATCAACCAACTCACAAGTGAACTGAGCCAACGGGTGAAACCTGATGATCTTCAGTGTGACAGGTAAAATTGTGTATGACACACTATAAAACAAACGCTCTCCTCTCCGTATGCACCAGACAACTTCATATAAATTCTCCATATTTCTGGAAAAAAAAAAAAAACATTGTGCAATTCTTAAGCTGGGTTCACTTCGAACTTGAAAAGCTGTGTCACTTGCTTACAGGATGTTTTTCCTCTCAGGAAAATTTGTCACTTGAGCTCAATTATTAAAACTTGCATGGTGGACGAGATTGAGACCATGGCAAACACATCACAAATTTCAGTCTATGCGGCAATGATTTGCCTCTAATTGCACATTTGCATTGACTTTGTATGTATTTTACGGGCACGAATAGTTAATTCAGCATTTGGTGTGAACCCAGCATTAGTGTGCTTCAGGTGAGTGGGCTTGACAGAACAACTGTAGGTCACACACTTTCTTCTCTCCATATGCACCAGACATTTTCTTATCAACTTTCCATTTTCTGGAAAACATTGTGCAATTATTAAGCTAAGTTCACACCAAACTTAAAGCACTGTGTCACTTGCTTTAGTTTACTCACGGGATGTTTTTTTCTCTCTCAATTTAGAACTTGCACAGTGAACGAGACTGAAAAAATTTCCATGGCAAACATCCATTTCACATCGTCCGGTCTATGCTGCAAAAATTCACCTCGATTTGCACATTTGCATTGACTTTGTATGTATTTTACTCCCATTAATACTTAATTCCGTATTTGGGTTGAACCCAGCATTCCTGTCCTTGAGCGTACAAAACAACTGGAAACACACTGACTCTCTCCTCTCCATGTGCACTAGAAACTTTCTTTTAAACGCCTCATGCTTCCGGTAAAAATTGTGCAATTGTTAAGCTGGGTTTACACCAAACTTGAAGCACCATGTTACTTGCTCTAGTTTACTCTCGGGATGTTTTTCAATGATTAGAACTTGTGCGGTAGAAGAAATTGAGGCAAATAATGCACATTAAGGGCAAATGCATCACACATTTGGCATTATTTGTGCTATGTACCAGACACTTTCTTATCAACACTCCATTTTTCTGAGTGGGCTTGACAAATCACATGTACGACACACTCTACTTTCAGAGGGAGGGAAAATACTATTAAAAATATATGAATTCAATCATTCCTTTAAAAACTAAACTAACATAGACTTGTACTCACCTGTCCAACTGCTCGTTGGCCCAAATTTCTAATCAACCAACTATATGGCAGCAGCTCAATGCATTTAGGTATGTAGACATGGTCAAGACGATCTGCTGCAGTTCAAATCGAGCATCAGAATGGGGAAAAAAGGTGATTTAAGTCAGTGTTTCTCAACCACGTTCCTGGAGGCCCACCAGCTCTGCACATTTTCCGTGTCTCATTAACCAAACACACCTAATTCAGATCATCAGCTCCTTTGACAGACAAATAAGACATTCAAAACATGCAGTGTTGGTGGTCCTCCAGGAAAGTGGTTGAGAAACACTGATTTAAGTGACTTAGAACATGGCATGTTTGTTGGTGTCAGACGGGCTGGTCTGAGTATTTCGGAAACGGCTGATCTACTGGGATTTTCACGCACAACCATCTCTAGGGATTACAGAGAATGTTCTGAAAAAGAGAAAATATCCAGCGAGCCTAATGTACCTAATAAACTGGCCAGTGAGTGTATACTGCTGCTCTCCGGTGATTTGAAGTGCTTCTTTCATTCTCACTTATAAGTCACTCTGTATAAAAGTATCTGCTAAACGAGTAGACATAAATGTAAAGGACACCAAACACTGAATCTAAAAATGCTTTGCACCCTAAAAATCATCTCTATTGCTTCTGTTTTGGCAGCATAAGCACATATGGTCTGTCTCTTTCGCTGGTGATGAAGTTCACTGTGGACGAGATCAACTCTAAAAAGCATATTCTCCCAGGGATCACTCTTGGATTTGAGAGCTATGACACCTGCATGCAGCCAGCCGTTATCATGAAGCCCGTCCTGCAGCTTCTCACACAGGAATCAACAGATGAACTGGACATTTATTGTAACTACACAAACTACAAGCCTCGGGTTATGGCTATCATAGGACCAGACAGCTCAGACGTGGTCCCAGATGCTGGCAAGCTGATTGGTTTTTTCTTGATGCCAATGGTGAGAATATGAAAGATTTGTAACCCTTTGTCGGGTAATGAAACTTAAAGTTGAAGGCAAAATTATTAGCCCTCCTGTGAAATTGTCGTTCTTTCTCAAATAGTGATTTTTAACAGTGCAATTACATTTTCACAGCATTTCTAATAATTTAGCCTTCTAAAGATTTGAAACCACATAAGGGTGAGTAAATGATGTGTAATGTTCTTTATAGGGTGAACTTTCCCTTTAAATGGCTATGCTCTAATGCTTTTTCAATTGTTCTCTATTCGCTCATTCTCAGATTAGTTATGGTGCCACCAGCGATGAGTTCAGTAACAAACAGACCTACCCGTCTTTCATGCGAACCGTCGCCAGCGATCAGTGGCAGGTTGTGGCCATGATACAGCTGCTGAAACAGTTTGGGTGGAACTGGGTGTCAGTAATAGGTAGTGACGAAGAATACGGCCAGATGGGTCAGCAGCAGTTCTCCAGCATGGCCAATGATGAGTCCATCTGCGTGGCCTATCAGGGTTTAATTCCCGTATACAGTGATCCAGGACCTACAATACAAGATATGCTGAATCGGATCGTGGATGCTAAAGTTGGAGTGGTGGTGGTCTTCTCTATTCCCATCCCAGCTAAAGCCTTCTTTAAAGAGGTGAAAAAAAACTTTTCAAATTATGAGAAAAATATGACTTTTTGATTGAGTTTGACTTGCTAGAGTAATTGTCGATTCATTCTGCTGTGACTACGCCTGGTGAATCAGGGATTAAGTCAATGAAAAAGTGAGTGAGGTTTAATTTTTGGGTGAACTACCCCTTTTAAGCAGAGGTCCTCAACTTCAATGGCCTCGAGGGCCAAATGCAACCCAGGCTCATTCTGAAAACGTAGTCCCGTGGACGTTTCTGGAGACCGCGAAATACGTCCCGGGAGGTACATATGGCTGCATTTCAATTTTTGTAAGTGAACGCTACGGGGCGGTATGACGCCGTTCCCTTTCGCGCTTACCGACTGACCGCTTACCTCCATGTGGAGGGCTTTCCTGCTGCAATCAGTTTTTCCAGTCAGCTCATCGTGTGCATCGGCTGACTTAAGATGCAGAGAGGAGGAGTTGACCACAGCGAGCGGGCTCGAGGCCGGGGAAGAGCGGTTCCAGGAATCAGGTAAGACAAAAACAGAATCCAAAAAATAAAGTGAACGAGTTCATAACGGGGTGAGAACGTGGTGAAATCTGAAAACCTGGTGAAAAAAAAACAGACGAGGGCTTTTCTTTTTCTAGACGGCTTTTCTAAATTGTTGCTCGGGTTTAGGGAAGTGAGCGGGCGGGCGGATCAATCGGTAAAACTGGTTGGGTTCAGGGAAGGAGGAGGGTGGGTCAGCCGATTGGCCGGTCGCGTAGTCAATCATTCGGTCAGTCAGACAGCGGCCTCTGGTGGGTTGATGCCAGAACAGCGCAGGTGCGACTGGCACTCGCCAGAGACGTTCGAGATACAAAAAAGCAAACACAGTGGCCTCTCGCGGATTCGTGAAAACAAAAACTTCGCAAATACGTACCTCCTGGGGCGTACTTCGCGGTCTCCACACTGCAAAAAATGCTTTTCTTACTTAGATTTATTGTCTTGTTTCTAGTCCAAATATCTAAAAATTCTCAAATCAAGAAGAATATTCTAGACAAGCAAAACATATTGTCTTGTTTTAAGAAATAAAATGCCAATATTAAGTGAGTTTTTCCTTAAATCAAGCAAAATAATCTGCCAATGGGGTAAGCAAAATAATCTTACATCAAACGACAAAACAAGATTATTTTGCTTACCCCATTGGCAGATTATTTTGCTTGATTTAAGGAAAAACTCACTTAATATTGGCATTTTATTTCTCAAAACAAGACAATATGTTTTGCTTGTCTAGAAAATGCTTCTTGATATAAGAAATTTTAGATATTTAGACTAGAAACAAGACAAAAAATCTAAGCAAGAAAAGCATTTTTTGCAGTGCAGAAACGTCCACTGGACTACGTTTTCAGAATGAGACTGGGTTGCCCAAATATCAACCTCATGAGATACAGGCGGCCAGGCTACAGGTTTTGGTGTACAGTATGATAATGCTCTTTTCACCACTATCCGATCAGGTAATCAAAAGAAACATTACAGCTGTTTGGGTGGCGAGCACAGCATGGAGTCTGAATGATGGTGTATCCACCCTGCCTGGCATCACTTCAATAGGCACCGTGCTGGCGTTTGCAGACATCACCAGACCTCTTGACCTCTTTACTCCCTACATCCGTGAGCTTTTCACCAAAATAGAGGGGATGGCGATCCCACAACAGCTAGATGCAGACATCTCGCCTCTGGACAACCCATGCCCAAGATGCAGCTATGTGAGCCAAGCCAACGTGAGCATGGTAGAGGTAGACCTAGTGCAGCGCTCAGCTTTCAGTGTCTATGCTGCCGTCTACTGTGCCGCATATGCTCTGCATGACTTGCTTGGATGCAATGCAACCAGCTGCACTCGAAATCCTAAAAGAGACAATGTCTATCCATGGCAGGTAATCACACAAATGCATTTCTTTCCTTAAATTTGTTTGTTTAGCCTTATGGAAATCTGATATTTGGCCATAAATGACTTTGTATTAAAAATTAAAGCTAACATATTGAATATAGCTGTCGCCTCACAGCAAGAAGGTCGCTGGTTCGAGCCTCGGCTGGCTCAGTTGACGTTTCTGAGTTTGCATGTTCTCCCTGCATTTGCGTTGGTTTCCTTCGGGTGCTCTTGTTTCCCCCAAAGTCTAAAGACATGCAGTACAGGTGAATTAGGCAGGCTAAACTGTCTGTAGTGTATGAGTGTTAATGAGTGTGTATGGATTTTTCCCAAAGCGGCTGGAAGAGCATCCGCTGTGTAAAACATGTGCTGGATAAATTGGGGGTTCATTCCGCTGTGGCGCCCCGGATAAATAAAGGGAATAAGCCGAAAAGAAAATGAGTGAATGAATGATTGAATGAATATTGAATATACAGTTAAAGTCAAAATTATTAGCCCTAACTCTTAGTTCTGATATCGGAAAAGATTTCAGTTCTTATATGTCCTCTGCTAAACTCGTAAACAAACAATTGTGATCGGTTCATGAGATCGTCCCAATTAGCAAGTACAGATCGAGTCCTGAAATGTGATTATCCACCAATACTGATCCCTGGGCAATTAATCGGAGCATCCCTAGTACATAATATTTGACTAGATATTTTAGACACTAGTACTCAGCTTAAAGTGACATTTCGAGGCTAAACAAAGTTAATTTATCGTTAGGGTAATTAGGCAAATCATTGTATAACAGTGGTTTGTTCAGTAGACAATCAAAAAAATATATATTGCTGAAGGGGGCTATTAATATTGACCTTAAAATGGTGCTTAAAAATTAAAAACTGCTTTATTCTAGCTGAAATAAAACAAATAAGACTTTCTCCAGAAGAAAAAATATTGTAGGAAATAATGTGAAAAATTCCTTGCTTTGTTAAACATCATTTTGGAAATAATAGAAAAAGAAAAAACTAATACAAAGGAGGGCGAATTATTTTGACCTTAACTGGACATGTACATGTTTGTGATTCCAATGGTTGAAAACATATAATTTTAATTTAACTTGTTGTTGCATATATGACATATATTTAATATTTTATATGTGAAATCCAAACATGTGCATGTACATAAAAAATATTGTAGATGTAATCTGCGTGCACTGTAAAAAAAATCTTGTGCTATCTACTTTAAAAAAATAATGGTAAAATTATTACATGCATTCTTTTTAAATATTTTTCATGATTTTTTGAGCACAAAACTAACTAAATAAATAAATAAATAAATAATGTAAACATAGCAAAACAATAAGATGATTCAAATATATTTATATGATTTTAAATATTTAATTTGCAATGCCATTGTTGAGCAGATGTCTCAATCAAAATCACATAATTAAATTAATTAATTATCCTAATTAATTAAAATAAACATTCTTTCCTCAAATTTATTACCTTAATTAGTTCCTCAAATCAAATTATTGCCCCAGTTTGCTTAAAATAAGAATTAAAATGTGTCTCTTAATTTTATGAGTGTAATGTTCTCAATATTATATAATAGATGCAAAATAAATAAATACTTTAAAAAAAAAACATGCACATTATTTTAATGATCACATTTTTACAAACTTCGAGTATCTTTTTTTCTTATATTGCCATATATCAGATTTCTAAGGTATAGATTACAACACAGTTGTCAAACTTCTGGAGTTCCTGGAGGGCCGCAGTTCTGCACATTTTAGTTCCAACCCTAATTAAACACACCTTAACAAACTAATTAAGTCCCTCGGGCTTGTTTGAAACCTACAGGTAAGTGTGTTGAAGCAGGGTTGGAACTAAACTGTGCAGGGCTGGACAGGAACTAAGTTTGACACCCCTGGATAACAAGATCGACTGTACTAACACTGCAGTACATGATCTTTATTTCCTACAGCTGTTGCGGAAACTCCAAAAACTGTCTTTAGACCTTGAGGGGGTCAATATTCAGTTTGATGATGAGGGCAATCCAAACTTTGGCTACGATTTTATGCAGTGGATCTTCAATGACACCACCGTGACCTTTGATGTAATTGGATACTTTTATCAGAACCTTACCATTGAAAGCAATGCTATAAAATGGCACACAAAAAACGGAGAGGTACGCTAAAATCTAAAGCACCAATTTCCCCTGAGATGCTTGTATTTTAATTTTAAATGCTCAATATTAGTTTGGTTTACTATCAGGCAATCGTTTTGACAAATGGTCTCCGTAACAGGTGCCAATGTCCACCTGCTCCTCAGACTGTGGGATAGGACAGGTGCGCAGAGTCAAAGGTTTCCATTCCTGCTGTTTTGACTGTATTGACTGCTTGGAGGGAACATTCCTAAACAACACAGGTGAGCAGCTAACAGAGCCAGAAATTAGCCTTCTATTATGATTTAAAATTGGTCAGTGGACTCTTTTCACAAGACTGTTATGACACGTTTAACTGTCATCATGCATCTTAAATCTAATTAATTAAGACACTTAATAACATAATAGAAATTGAGTATACAAAAAATACAGTGGGGTGAGTTTGGACATAGCACAGTAATCATTAAGTAAATGCACAGCTAAACAATATGCTAATTGTGGCCATAATGTAATGTCTAATATTAAGTTAACATTATCCCAAGTCGTCACAAATGAAACAATGCATGGGAAATGGCTTTGGTCGGCGTTTAAGTTGCAGTGTATTATGCAACAGCTAATGTAAACAAACTAATATTTTAATTGCTAATAAATCAACTTATGAATGAGTCTGCATCAGTTACATTAAAGAGAATCACTTTATTCACAGTAAAATACCCTACCTACTTTAGGTCAATATTAACTGAGCTACAGCCGCACATCTGACTCGTTTGTGTAGAAAGTAGGCGAGATGAACTGGGAAAGCAGGCAGTGGGCCAAACCATTGTGAGGAAGGGGAGGGGGAACTCAACTGTTTCTAAATGAATTTGTTGCATTTTTTTCTACTAAGACAATTATTTTAGGTATATATACATATATTTTTCACAATAGATAATGCGATTTTTTTAAAATGACAGGAAATGCAAGGTTGTGCGGCAAGTTTTGCAGTTCGCTGCATTGGAAAGTTCAAGCTTGGTGAAATCTGACCTGTGAAATCGCATCACATGATTGTGTAAGACCAATCGAATTTGATAAAAACATGACCTCTCTGTACATAAATTTAAAACATGGACCAATCACTCGCTTTTTTAAATGTCTAATCATCTTCTTTAATCCCGCCCATATTCGCCAATAAACTCCAGTGTGACCGCAGCATCCCTCACAAAGCTGTAATTAAAAACAAACCGATATCAGCTATTTTTTAAAGGGGGAGGAGCTACTATAAGACCCTTTTTGTTTTTCAGTAAAGATTATGTCAAGATGGAATAAAATAATGCACGTTTCACAGCACTTCACAGGACCATTAAGCCAATTTTTCAGTCTAATGAAAAAATAATCTAAGCTCTTTATATCTGATGCTAACTAAACTTTATCTGCCTTTCCCTTTGGAAGATGACATTCAGTGTAAATCATGTCCCAATGGCCAGTGGTCAACTCTAAGAAGCACAAGCTGTGTCTATCCCATCTACACCTACCTGGACTGGACCAACTATGAGTCAATCGGAGTCATTCTGGGAGGAATTGTAGTGCTTGCATCACATGTATGGGTGGGGGCTCTGTTTTTCAAGCACAGAGGAACTCCACTGGTGAAAACTGCAGGTGGACCGCTGTGTGGCCTTACCTTGCTGAGCCTTGCTGGAGGATGTATGAGTCTGGTGCTGTTCCTGGGTCAGCCGGGAGACACCGTCTGCCGCCTGCAGGAGCCACTTAATGCCTTTTTTCCCACCGTGGCCCTCTCAGTCATTCTGTCCAGTTCCCTTCAGGTAATCTAAAAAAAATGTAGAAGAAAAATTAAATGCATGTTAAAATAAAGGTAAAAGTTGTTTAAATATATGAAATTATTTATTTTTATAGTTTTATAATATAGTAATTGTAGTTGAAAAGAAAATGAATGAATGAATGAATGAATGAATGAATGAATGAATGAATGAATGAATGAATGAATGAATGAATATAAGTTATTTGTTTGATAGTTTTGGGAAATTATAGCTGAATAATTAAAATAAAAATACTGAGATTCAAAATAGGGATGAAATGAACTGATTAAAATCAATATCACAATATGTGTTTTATGCAATAGTTAAACTGTGAACAATGCAATTTAATTTAATTATTTATTTATTACTGGTTTGTATTTTGCTGGCAAGCCACAAAAAGTCTTAATATTTTTTTAAATATATCATTTTTTTAGTAAATATTAGTATTGTAAACATATATTGTATATAACAAACTTATATTCATATTGTTAAAACTATATGTTTTATTAAATACTTTAATTTATTTACAACGTTAGCAGTATTGCAAGATATCTTTTTTTATTAATAATAATCACCATAAATCATTTTTTTTGTCAAAAAGCAGTGGAAATGTTGCCAAATAAATCTTTTAAAACTTTATGGCTACTAAAAGAGGTTTGATCTGGTTCTTAAAATGTCATGTTCTATGTTTAACATTAAAAAAATACTATTATTATATTAATATTTTTAAATATTAATATCTAGAATATACAAAATAATTTGTTAATTTTAATGTTGATGTATTTGTTAAATATTAGATTATTTAATTATTAATGTATTTTTTTAAATATATATACTTAGTTTTTCTATACAGATGTAATTGCTTTCTAGACATAAATTGTCTCTGAAAGAAAATTGCAATCTAATTTTTCCCCCAATATTGAGCAGCATTAATTTAATGCTGGCTAACAATAAAAAAAATCAGCCTAATGTGAGTCTCTACTTGAAGTTCATTGTAAAATCTGTAAAACATATCAGTCAATTACCAGTTTATTTTGTGATTTACAAGTGTTTTCTGTGTATTTACGGTTGTGAATTGCATTATGGGAGGTTGAATTCTGCGCTGTCGACTGTTGATGTTAAAAATTCAACTCTACAGTTTAGCAAAGAGACTTTTATTGACATTTTAGTAGTTTAAAATAATAAAATGCATAAGAAATCAAGGTCCTAAAATGCAATTCAGCAGCATAAATACAAAATAACAAATTAACAAATAAAACAATGAAAAATAAAAACATGAATCATAAAATACATATAATTAAAACTAGAAAGTTTCACAAATAAAACAGTAACAATCATAAATCAGTTCAGTAGCTCAGTGTAAAATGTTCAGTAGTGAAATCTGCAGCCTTAAATAAAGCCAAATAGAAGCCCTGTACTATTAAAACAAAAGAGTAATTTTTATTTCACAAATATTCTTCTATTTTTTACTTTACAGATTGTGTGCGTCACAGAGTTTCCTGAGCAGTCTTCCGAACACCTAGAAAACCTACGCGGACGAGGAAGCTGGTTTGTGATTCTGGGATGTTGCGGGCTGCAAGCGGGACTATGCGGCTGGTATGGCCTAGAAGGTCCCTCCCTGACCCAATACGTCGCCAGTTTGGATGTGACTTATGTGAAAACTTTTCTACGCTGCCCAGTGGAGCCAATGTTAAACTTCGGCCTGATGCTCGGTTTTAATGTCATCCTGGCTCTGATGTCATTCATGTCCACCTTCATGGCTCTAAAGCCACCTGGACAGTACAACTTAGCCAGAGACATCACCATCTCCACCTTGAGTTACTGCGTCATGTGGGTGATGTTCATCCCTATTTACACCAGTCTAGATGATAAAAATAAGTCCCTTGCTCAAGTAGGAGTTAGTTTACTCAGTAATATGGGGTTGGTTGCGGCCTACTTCTTCCCTAAATGCCACCTGCTGGTCAAACAACCAGAACTCAACACAGATGATCACTTTCGTACATTTTTGGAAGGCGTCCCACCGACACCACCTGAAGAAAGCTAATTATAATTGCTAGGTAATTAATATTATTACTATTAGGCTTTATGAAATACTTGGTTAACATTGGTTATATTATGTGGTCAAATATTTTTAATTAATCCTAAAATAAATAATTGAGCATTGTGACAGGAAATTTCCTACATATCAGGTTTTAAGAATCGTTCAGATTAGTGTTTGATTTTTTTTGGTTAGCAGTCACTGTATAATAACAGTATGTTTCTCTAGATTTACAATTCATAGTACATTATTATGTTATATTACATATTATCAGGGCTTGACATTAACTTTTTTGATCACCAGCCACTGTTGCTAGTAGTTTTCCAACATTACTAGCCACTCGCCATTTTTACTAGCCACAATTTTCTTGTTGGGAAAATATATTTTATATGCATTATTATGACTTTGACATGCTAAAATTACTTGATTTAGACTTTGTGTTATGTTCACATGCCTCTTCATTCATTTCACCTTTCATGTGTCGTGTATGAGCAAATGGTTCATGGTTTCATTGTGTCTTAGTTTTTATTTAACAAGTCTTTTCAGAGCTCAAAATTAAGAATATACCAAATTTATCTCTGACCACAACAAACATAAATAAAGTAAAAAAATTAATTATTTCTTAGCCACAAATTTTAAATGTGTCAAAGCTGTATACAATACTCTTTATTTAACATAATATTCCTTAAAAAATATATTCCCCCCCGAAGAAAAAAAAATTGGCATTTAATAAATAATTATTGTCTTGTATCTAAAATATACACAGTAATCTGTTCTGGCTAAAGGTCCCAGATTACCAGTTAACTTCACATAAATGGGGAGCTAAACTCTCATTAAAGCAATGTTATTGTAAAAAAAAAAAAAAAGGGCAATTAAACCATTAATGTAAAAGAAAGCAGGTGAAAAGCCGTGTGCGATAAGAAAAGGATGATCACATACACACGGTTAACGTTAGGCCAATTAATAATCTGTTCAAAGAATTCCTGGTTAAAGCGAAAGCAACCGTTGATGCTTACATAAAAACAAATCTGGAGCTCTAGAATTCAGCAAGACTGTGGGTGCATGATCATAACTTTTTGTCTAATATTTAAGAGAAACGATCACATCAGTTGCGTTTCTAGGCACAGCTGCTTCACGCAAGGAAATGGGAGCGCGTCAGCTGTTATCATCCTCTCATTCAGTAATCACCTGCTTTATATTGCTTGCGTAAACACAATCATTTTTGTGTCAGTTCAGCTGCTTCTCGATTCTAGGATCACATTTGCACGCATATTGGGCCATCCTTATTGTCAAATCCTGCTTTTAAGAAAACTTTACAAATTATTTTCAACCAGCCAAAGTGGCAAGTGACAGTGGCTGTCTAATCCGACACAGCTGAAATCTACCCGCATTTGGAGGGTGCTAATGTAAAGCCCTGCATATTATATTGTATATTATATGTGTTTGAGAAAAACTATTTTTGTTTGGTTCTGCAAACTATTGATGACATTTGCATTTACTATAAATATTGCCATTTAGAGGAGCATAACCTGACAATTGGTCAAAATAACAAATAAGACATGTTTTCAGAAATGTTTATGAATTTTTAGATACCAATGTTTTAACCCTTTTGCACTGTTGGGGATGTTTTCATCCACTCTGGGGTGATTCGGTGTGTTAATTTGGCCATAATTTTTACAGTGTATCAGCTAGCAGAATTATTTTTGCTGACAAATCTTTCATCCAGCATATGTTTTAAGCAGCGGAGGCCCTTCCAGCTGCAACCCAACACTGGGATACATCCACACACTATTGCATTCACACACATACACTACAGCTAATTTAGCTTATTCAATTCACCTATACCACATGTCTTTGGACTGTGAGGGAACCAGAAAACCAGGAGCAACCGGAGGAAACCCACGCCAATACAGGGAAAACATGCAAACTCCCTACAGAAATGCCAACTGACCGTGCTGGGGCTCGAACCAGCGACCTGCTTGCTGTGAGGCGATCGTGCTACCCACTGTGCCCCTGTGATGCCCGACAAATCTTATTTTGACACATATTTTGAGAAAAGGCTTTGAAATGTTTAAAGAACTCAAAGCTACACTCTGGGCAAATGCACTACCCTTTTGTTATGTTCGGGATGAAAACACTTCCACTGAATTAAACCGCTGTAAAAATGCATCAGATTGATATTTGTTTCTTTTTTGTTTTTGCATAAACTTGTTAATCAACCTGTCCTGATTGAAACTATTAAATTGCTTAGAAAATTACAAGGATTTTAACTCCTTGATTGCCAAGTTCACAAATGATGTGACTGATTTTAGTAAAAAAAAACACACATAATGATGTATTTATATAAAAAGTTAATTTTATTCTTTTCTTCCAAATTTACTGTTAGTGGCTGTTTTTCAGACACATCAAGGTAAGTGCGCAAAGGTCACTCTCACACACTCACAGAAAAACATACACACACTTTAATTAGCTGTTATACTTCATCTAAAATCCAGAAACTAAGATTATTTTTGCACAAGCATATTTAAAGTATTAATTGTTCCAAATAATGATCAACAGTAAAAATGACAAGCTTTACCTCTTCCCAACAGGGAAAACCACCAGCAATGCATGATTATATGCATGATTATATGGTGTCATGGTTTCACAATCAAAAAAATGTGCTTATAATGGAAGGCTAATAATTTTGCCCGTAAAATGGCTTTTGAAAAATTAAAAACTGCTTTTATTCTAGCCGAAATAAAACAAATAAGACTTTCTCCAGAAGAAAAAATATTATCAGACATACTGTGAAAATTTACTTGCTCTGTTAAACATTTATTTTTTACAGTCATTGGTCAAACATCATTTGACAAAAGAGAACATTTTTCTTTTCAAATCTTTTTTTTTTCTGAGTTAATCATAGGATATAACAGTAGAATAGTGCACAAGGGTTCATTTCAAAAACATTTTGTGGAATAGCCCTGCTTATTTTGACCAATTGTCATTTTCTGGGGAGGAAATGAAATGAAATGAATATTCTCAGAGCTTTAGCATTTTTAATAATTGTCAACACAAATTGTTAATTTTTGTTTTCTTCATGAATACGGGTACTTTAAAATGCTTAGTTATAAATGAAAGCCAAAAATAAACCTGAATGAAGGAAAGCTCCTTCCTTTTGCTGGTGTCGTGTATGTAAGAAAACAGCGCCACCTGCAGATCGTTTAACACTATTTTCCTTGGAGACTGTTGCTAACAACTTTTTCTACATGGGGAGGAAGAGTTGATATATTAAACCACCTGAAGACTGATAACCGTAAGGTAAGATTAGCCTTCATTTACCTTATCATAGATATCACTGATAAAACATAAGTAACGTTAGCATTATTTAAAAGTTTTATGATTTAGGCTTGATTTTTGACGACTTGTGTGTTCGACACCGTTGTGTCGAATTGATGTCATTTTGATTAAGTTAATTCATCATGACTGACGATTCTAATGCTAAAATAGTTAAGCAGTGTGGTGCACATTTTATGATTGTATGTGGAAGGTCGAAAGAAAAAAAAGAGCCACTTACAGACAGTGTATGTCCAAAGGCATAGTATAGTAAACACATCAGTGTAAAAAAACAGTGATTAGCGTTAATTAACATAGTATTCTCTTGAAAGCTATTCATTGTCCTTAAGATACTTACAAAAGTGCTGATGGTATGACAGACGACACCTTTGCGTTAACTGTCGACTATTTACGTTTTCCTCATGTTGTCTTCTGTTTAAACTGTTTTCAAATATTACCACAGTATTACCACAAATTATGTCCAAAAGCATGGTCACTTATAGTTAGTGAACACGTCAGTGTAAAAAACAATTAAGTCAACTTAATAATCTCTTAAGCTATTCATTGTCCTTATAAAAGTAATATACTGATGGTATGACAGACACCTTTGCGTTAACAATCGACTGACTACTTTTGCCCTAACGTACGTTGTCTTCTGTTTTAAAGTTTTGCCACAGTATTACCACAGACGATTTTACCACAGTATTACCACAGACAATATAACGTTATGTCCAAAAGCATGGTATAGTTATTAAACACATCAGTGTAAAAACAGTGATTAATTAACATAATAATCTCTTAAAAGCTATTCATTGTCCATATTTACAAAAATACTAATGGTATGACAGACATACCTTTGCGTTTTAACCGTTGAAATTTTACGTTTACCCTACGTTGTCTTCTGTTTAACCGTTATTACCACAAATAAAGTATGTCCAAACGCATAGTGAACACATAGTGTAAAGAAACAGTGATTAATAAAGAATATATTAATCTCTTAAAAGCTAACGTTATTCATTGTCCTTTACAATGCTGATGGTAGGACAGACGACTCCTTTGCGTTAACTGTTTACTTTTACTTTTACCCTGTCCTCTATTTTAACTGTTTTCAGATATTAATTCATAATTAGATCTGTTTCATATTTGGTAAAAATTTTCTAAAACCCCATTTTGGGCTTTAATTTGACGAATCGATCGTTACTGGTGCAATGCGCATAGCATGACTAGCCAATAACTCGATGCTAAGGCGTTGCTAGGCAGGTCAAGTAATTTTGGGGTTAAATTTATCACAGTTACACAACATACCATGGTTAACATGTTTTAAGATATATAAGGTACCATTAAATGTTTTATTTGTACTATTAACATGTTTCTTAGACTACATTTATCCAGATTATTAAGTGTATTGTACATAATATTATTTAAACTAGGGCCCACAGGCTAAAGTTGGCCCATGGTAAACTTTGATTTGGCCCATCGTCCTATCTGAGAAGAGAAGGAGAATTATAGGGAGGATTTAGAAATTATTTCAAATTAATTGTAACTTTTATTTGTTTGTTTTATTGTTAATCTACAAAAAAAAGCTAACTGTGATTAAATGTTTCATTTAAAATGCTGTAATTTAATTTACAATGTACATAACGTCACCCGACGGATAGAGGACAATGCAAATACTTTGGTGAGCAAATAAATTTGCAGATTCTGCTTGACTAGTGCATTCAGCATTGATCTCCACTGTCTTATAGATGTGATTGTTTATGCTTTATTCCAGTATGTCATCATTTAAAATGTTATACTGCTTTAGTTAATACAATTTAAAGTAATGTTTTAATTTATTTGGAAATTAATTACCCATAGCAACCTTATTGTAAAAATAGTTTGGTATGTTTATCTTCGGCCCACTGTGATATTTGACTTTTGGCCCTTCATGAGAAAAGGTTTGGGCACCCATGATCTATACAATAGTGCTTTCAAGAAGTCCGAAAAGTTTAGTAGATACATTACTGGAGATAATTATTTATTGTTTTTAAAACATAGGTAGACTTTGTATACTTTAAAGGTTTATACATACATTTTGTCTTCATTATTTATAATTGTTTTTGTCTTCTCCTTCAGTCGTGTTTTGTGACTATAATCATCATCATCATCACAATGCCTCGTGGAAGATCTGCGATCAGTGTCCTCTCCGACAGCAGTGACTTGGACTTTGATGGAATTGGTATGCCAAAGACACACATAATGGATAATTAAGATTATAGTCATGCTGATGAATGTGCTTATGCCTGTTTGTGTCCAGCCGAGACGGAGATGGAAAAGCTCCAGAGACAGTTTCGCATTACAGAGGGAGATCGACAGGCCTACAGCATCCAGTCACAAGAAATTATACGCAAACAACGGTCAGTTCCATGGTCAATGCCACAGGATACTTACTGTAAATGATCACATAAAGCTTTGGAAAATAATAAAATACCACTTGTCATTTCTTAATTTCTCTTGATTTACAATTTACTTGTGTGTGTTTGAGTAAACCATCATTTTAGTTTCGCACGAGTACTGAAATTTAAAATAAAAGCATAATTTAGAGCAGGAGTGCCCAAACTCTGTCTTCCCTGCTGAAAAAAACTTCAACCAGCCTAAGCTGGTTGGCTGGTTTTAGCTAGTTAACCAGGCTGGGTTTAAAGGGGTTTTGGCCACTTCTAGGCTGGTTTCCAGCCATTTCCAGCCTGGAAAATGACCAGCTAAAACCTGCTTGACCAGCCTGGTTTAAGCTGGACATAGCTGATTTAGGCTGGGCTCCCAGCCTGACTAGGCTGTTAAAGCTGGTTATCTTCCGGTGGGTTGCAATGGGTTGCAAGTTGCAACTGATATCTGCAGGAAGGAAGATCTCCAGGAACGGGGTTGAGCACCCCTGATTTAAGCTGTGGTCACACTGGAGTTTAAGCTTGCTAATTCTGTCGTACAGCGCTGCGAAATGGGGCGGGATCAACAAGATGATTAGACATTAAAAAAGCGAGTCATTGGTTCATATTTTAAATTTCTGTTCTGAGACGTCATGTTTTAATCTTCGATTGGTCTCACACAGTCAAATGATGCGATTTCGCTGGTCAGAGTTCACCAAGAATGAAAGTCTATGGGGAGAAAAGTCCAGTGTGACTGCAGCTTAAGTATAAAAAGATGCCATGTTTTATATGTTTATATTCATTTTAGAAACACAATACCCATGTCTTAACTTGAGAAGAGTTCAGAAAGCAAATTCTTTAACCATTATTAATTTTCTGGGGAGAAAAGGCTCTAAAGGACAATTTATTTATTTGAAATTTGGAAGAAATGTTGTCAGAATAAACATATATTAAATAAATAGATCACATAAAAATGGCAATTTACTCACTGTACTCTCCCTCAAGTGGTTCCAAACCTTTATGTGTTTATATTTTCTGTTGATCACACAATAATATATTTTGAAATATTATAATTTGACTAATTTAATAATTTTGTAACCAATGGCATCCATAGTAGGAAAAACAAAACCTATAGAAGTAAATGGTTACAGGTTTCAAGCATGTTTTAAAATAACTTATTTTGTGTTCAACAGAAAAAAGAAAGGTTTGTGACGAGGTAAGGTTGTGTAAAATAATGACAGAATTTTCAGTTTTGGGTGAACCATTCCCTTTTTCCTTCATCATTTCACCAGTACATCCAAATTACAAATTTTCAAGTCATAATTTCCATATCAATAAAGTATAGTACATATAATTTTAATCCTAAAAATGCATTGGATTTCATTTTGGAGTAGGGTTAGGAATTGTCAGTAAAAGCTAATTTTATTACATGAGGAGGTTTTGCACAAAAATGGTGCCTTGTGTATTGCATTTCCTAGTATGCAGTGTATGTACTGTAATGCTGAATATAGACGGCAACTTTTTGAGCAATACTGCAGGCCAAATTTGTAAAGCAATGATGTTTGGTTACTTTTCTATTCAGAAAGGGCACCAATATTGTATCTGTAACCCACTGCCCTAATTAGTTACTGCCTGACCTGGTTGCCCATTAATAGCATCATTTCCCAAAGTTGCCTTGTGTATCATCAGCATATGTGTTTGAGCATATTTTAGTTTGTTCAACCTAGGCCCATTCTGAAAATGTTGCTCTATATACATTTCTGGAGATCGCAAATTATGTAGCCAGAGGTACGTATGGCTGCATTTTGTCCTTAAAATGAATGCTACTGGGCGGTATGATGCTGTTCATACCAGCTGACCGCTTACCTCCGTATGGACAGTTTTCTCACTATTACCAGTTTATCTAGTTAGCTCACCATGTACGTCGGGGGACTTGAGACGCAGAGAGGAGTTGCTTATGATGATCGGGATCGAGTCTGGTGAAGAATGGTTCGATAAAGCGGATAAGACAAAAACAGAAGGCAAAAAATAAAATAAACAAGTAAATAACAGGGTCAGAATGTGGTAAAATCTGAAAAAAGTGATAAAAATCAGGCTTAGGTTTAGGAAAGTGGGTGGGCGGGTCAATCTGTGCTTTTGAAAACACTATTGGTTGAGTTTAGGAAAGGATGAGGGTGGGTCATTTGATCAGTCAGTCAGTCGACAGCGGCCTCTGGTGGATTTACGCTAGAACAGCAGGAGTGAATGGCACTCACGAGAGAAATTTGAGCTCTCAAAAAGCGTTCACAATAGCCTTTTGTGGATTGGTGAAAACCAAAACTGCAAAAAAAAAAGTAGCTCCTTGGACGTATTTGGCGCTCTCCAGAAATGTATATAGCAGTACGTTTTCAGAATGAGCCAGGGGTGAGTTTGTTGCATGTGTGTGTTTTTCCTGCAGTCAGGAGATTTCCAAGCTGCGTGAGGAACAGGATGAGCTGCTGCGAACTCTGCATGTGCTCGAGTCCCAGTCGCGCAGATCGAGTGAAACTCAGGAGACTGAGACCATACAAACTCTGCTGGAGCAACAAAACATGCAGGAGGATCAACTGGAAAAAGAGAAGCAAACCCAAACTCAACTGGAGCAGGAGGTGCATACAAGTCCATTCGTCGTCACTTAACACATCTCACATGGTGCTGCGGATGTTTATGTTCATGCTTTCTCTTTTCAGATTATGAATGTGGAGAAGAAGTTGGTGGAAGCCAGAAGAGAGGACATTACAACTTCGCAAAGTCATACGTCTCAGACCCGCCACACTCAGAAAGCCATACGAACACTGGAGAACAAACTGGACCGGGTAAACAGAAGCCGCTTTTACACTATTTGGTCTAACGGTTCTGTTTGCTTAACCATTTTATTTCCGTGGTTTTCATTTTCCTCTGTGGTGCTAATAACAAAACTTTTTAATGAAGGAATGTAATACAAATGTGCCTTGGTAATGCAATTGTAATGTAAATGTGAAAACAGTGAACATCAATATAAGGTGATGATCTTATATTACTGTGTTTTGGACTTCTTTTTATATATTTACTTCATTGAAGAACAGAAAAAAGAAATAGCAAGCTTCTGCTTAGTTATCCATAGAGAAACTGGCAACAGACAGGCAACCTCACCCATACACAAACATGCACATATGCACTCTACCAGCACAGATCAGCATGGTTGTCTAACCATCCCTAGAATTTGTGCTGCATTGTACCAGGCTGACATTGAAATTCAATTCAGCCTTATTTGTATAGCGCTTTTACAATGTAGACTGTGTCAAAGCAGCTTCACATAAATGGTCATTGTAATTGGAACAGAGTAGTTCAGCTTTTAGTGTTTAAGTTCAGTTCAGTGTGGTTTAAATCATTACTGAGAGTCCAAACACTGAAGAGCAAATTCATCGATGGGTAGCTCTACCGATCCCAAACCATGCAAGGTTGTGGCGACAGCAGAGAGGGAAAAAAAACTTCACTGAGGCGAGTGAAGAAAAAAAACCTTGAGAGAAACCAGACTCAGTTGGGCACGACCATTTTAATTTCTCCCCTGGACAAAAGTCTTGTGCAGAGCTGCAGTCTCATGCACTGGAACTCTACTTAACTGTTCTAAGAACCATTTGGCATGATAGTAGAAGTAGCTAGATCTTCTATAGGCTGCACAACATGTAGTAGATCTGAAACTTGTTATTTAAGTGGGCCTTTTTTTACTTAAATTAATTGCAAACTGGACCAGACTTTATTGATAACACAAACTTATGTTTAAATAATCCTGGACTGGTGGGAATTCTATTAAAGTGTGTTCACACATGGCAGGTTCAGTTTTATAAGCTCTTCACAAGTTTGCATATACAACAATAGCTCAGCACAAGGATTTGTGTTTGGATTTTTAATGTTTACACGTTGCAAAATATGAGTCATAAAAGTATACATCTTAAAAAAGACAGTGTTAATGCTGAGTGAACTATGAATAAAGGTACAGTTTTCTGTAAGTGAGTCAAACTCCAAGTGTGAACACACCCTTAATGTCTACATTTATATGCAGACAAATGAAAGTTCCGTAATCAGATTGATTATTAATATAATAGTATTGTAGGTGACACAGTGGCTCAGTAGTTAGCACTGTTTTTTCACAGCAAGAAGGTCGCTGGTTCGAGTTTTGGCTGGGCCAGTTGGCATTTCTGTGTGGAGTTTGCATGTTCTTCCTGTGTTGGCGTGGGTTTCCTCCGGGTGCTCCGGTTTCCCCCACAGTCCAAACATATGCTCTATAGGTGAATTGAATAAGCTAAATTAGCCATGGTGTATGTGTGTGAATGAGATTGTATGGATGTTTTCCAGTACTGGGTTTGCAGTTGGAAAGGATTAGATTGGATTAATTCAAACTCATGTAAATCACATCATGTTAACATTAATATCTCCATTGATCTTTTTTGTTGTTGTTATTGCAGGCTCTTATTCGCTTTAATGAGCAGCTGACGAAGAACAGCCAGCTCAGAGAAGAGCTTGAGACGCTTAGGATGGAGCGTGTGCGATTCCAGCAGCTGCAACGCAGACTGGAGAAGGTCTGGAAGTCTGGTGTGGCGTATACTGAGTTTGAGGGATACATTTATATTGAATACAGTTAAACCAACTGATGTTGTTTCACAGGTTTTGCAAGATGTTCGTAAGGATATTGGTGAAGTTATCAACATGTCCACCACAGCATATGAGGCAAGGTGAGGGAAATATTTTGAGAGTTACTTTTCTAATGTACAAAGTTTATACAACTCTACGAGGGTCAAAGATGAAAAGGGGTTTTCAAGCATCAACCAATAAAAGTGTAGGGCTAACCACTGAGCCACCGTGCCGCCTCATATATAATATATTACTACTTTTTTTTGTCAATGAACAAAGAAATAACTACATTCAAATCATTTCGACAATGATTTACAGAAAACACCCACACACATTCAGTTTAACAATTGCTATGCACCTGAATATCAACAGTGCATTTCAACAAATCTTGTGTGGCATATTTTGAACAAGAATAATTAGGAAACATATTAAAAGACTTGATTTAAGATTATAGTGCAGCAATTTTATCTTCATACATCTCAATAATTTAAAATATAATTAAATTTAGTACGATCACTTATTGTTAATATATTTTAATATGTGCAGGAATAACATAAACACCAGATAATATCATAATAAAACATAAATGTATAATAAATGTATAATAAATACATAAATTACATAATAAAAACATAAACATTTCTGTTACATTAAATATTGATGGAACATTATTTCAGAATTTCTTTTATATTTTTTCCCACACAAGCTTTTGGAAATGATAAATAAGCATTTAGTAAGCTTTTTGTGTATGTAACATTGTATATGTAATATATATGTTGACACTAAATATTATCCAGGTAAATTTGACTGGATTAATAAAGTGGTGATTCTATACAATCATGAAGTCTTCATGGCTTAACCCTCCTATTATCCTTAGGGTAATTTTGACCCCATTCAATGTCAAACATATGTACACATATAATTGACTTATGTTTTCTTCAGGTTGAGTTTCTTTTTCTAATTTAATGGGGAAAACTTGGTAAACATACAATTTACATTTTAGTTATTTAATAATTAAAATTATTAATAAAATTATTTTTTTAATGCCCTGTACACATTTTGTCACATCGTCGTTCTTTGGGGTCATTTTTCAGGGTCTTTTAGCTGTATAAAAAAATCACACATGTGTTTTGGGTGATATTGGGGTCAGTATAACATGCTATGATTTTATAATATGCACTAAAATTGTATATGTTAAGTATAATTACAAAAAAACATTAAAAAAAACAAACACAACCATACCTGCAGTATTGCGAGAACTGTTCACGTGAGGACTTGCCATGGGGAAGGGAGCTTATTGATGTTCAATAAAAAGTACACAATTAATAAAACAACAAATATATATATATATATATATATATATATATATATATATATATATATATATATATATATATATATATATATATATACTTTTCCAATTTTAGGTGAAATAGTGACTTTTCATGCTGATTTGTAAATATTTCTACAGTAATGCAATAGGTAATCTATATGTATTAGGGGCAGGAAGTGGAGGGCTGGGAGTGGGGAGTGGTGGGGTGTAATTTAGAGTGTTGTTAAGTATTCAACGAAGACATCAATTACCTGACACTAACCTTTTGGCAAAAAAAAAAAAAATCGTATTCTGAAGGTTTTAAATTGCTGGGGTCAAATTGACCCCATGGAAAAAATGTTTTAGCAGATTTTAGGGTAACAGGTGGGTTAAAACTATTATTCTCATCGCACACAGTGTTAATGCATCATTGGAATTCAATTGTGTTTCATTTTTGTACTTACAGCATCACTAAAATTGATTGCAAAGCTACTCTTTGACAAAAAAAAAAAACTTTTTATGTGGAATTATAAATTGCTCCACACTCAGAAAGCGTTTTAGACAGCTACTTTGAAGATGTTTCTAATTATCCGTGTGTTTTTCAGAGTGGAAGCTCAGACCAAAATGACCATGATGAAAGAAAAGGAGATGAAGGATCTTGCCCAGTATTCATCTGATGTAAAGGAGCTGGAGAGAGTCATTGCTCATGAACACAGACTCAAAGAGTTTATGAGCACCAAGAGTAATGAGAGAAACGCTCTGGATGAAGCACAGGAAATCAGCCGCAGAAACGGTCAGAGAACAATAACTAGACAAGAATTAGAAGAATAATTAGTTTTTTTTAGTTTTAGTTTGCACTTTTTTAACAGTTTGAGGTCAGGGAAATTGTTTGTTCTCTTATACAATGCAAAAAATACATTGCAAACTGTACAATTATGAAATACCATTGCAATTTACAAAAGGCTAACATGCTACCCACTGCAGCACCGTGCAGTCCTAACACAATCAAACAAACTCAATTAATCTAATGAGTTACCTTTTTGACCATGAAAATAATCTTTAGAGAATTTTAAGAAATGTTTAGAAATCATTTTAAGTTATACAAAGTCGACGATGTGTGCTAATGGCAGAGATGAAGGAGCAGAGGAAGGCAGATGCTGGAGAAGAGAAATGTGAAACTCTAGAAGAGGTTTTCCATCGTATTCAGACGGTGACTGGAGAAGAGAATCTGGAGAAGCTAGTTACAAAATTCATTGAGGGTGAGCTGAACATTTTTCTGTGCTAATAAAAGATTTCAATGTGTTATGCTACAGCTGTGTTTTTCTTAAACAGTTGAGGACAGGAACTTTGCTCTCTTCAACTATGTGAACGAACAGAACACGGAAGCTGACAGACTGAGAGAGGAAATCCATCAGGTCAGTGTGTCAATCAGAGCTAGTAGAATAAACCTAAAACATGTACAGTGACAACTTTCATGCAATGTTGTTCCAGATTAAAGAAGAGATGGAGCAGCTGCGCATGAAAGGGCTCCAACAGGAAGAGGAAAATCAGCTGGCTTTAAAACAGGTGAAGGATCTTCAGCAGGAGTGTGAAATACAAGCGCAGCAGTATGAAGCTCAAGCTGAAGACATCAGCAAGACCCTTGATCAGATCAAAACAGGTGATTATCTGATATTCATTTATTTTCATTCACTTAGTCTTTATTTCAGAAGGTCGCCACAGCGGAATGAACCGCTATTTATTCTAGCCAATGTTTTATGAAGCGGATGCACTTCCAACTGCAACCCAGTACTGGGAAACACCCATACACTCTCTCATTTACACACACTCATACACTAATTTAGCCAATTTTGTTTACCCATTTCACCTATAGCGCATGTGTTTGGACTGTGGGGGAAACCGGAGCACCCGGAGGAAACCCACGCTAACAGGGGGCGAACATGCAAACTCCACACAGAAATGCCAACCGTCCCAGCCGGGACTCAAACCAGCGACCTTCTTGCTTTGGGGTGACAGTGCTAACCACTTAACCACTGAGCCACTGTGCCACGATATAATCTGATATATGATAGTCTTATCATATTAGAAGAATAATATTTGCATGAAACTTCAGATCATATCCACTGAAGGAACAACTGAGAATAACAGGCACGAGAAATTTTAAAAAAAGCATACACAGCGGCCTTTGCGAAAAAAAAAAATACTGCAAAAAATTGTATCGCCTGGGACATATATGGCGCTCTCCAGAAATGTACAGTTGAAACCAGAAGTTTCAACACTCTAAAAAAAGACATAAGTATTTTAAAAAAATGTCTGATGGTAAATCATACTAAATGTTTACTATTTAGGTCCGTTAGGATTAACTTAATGATTTATATTTGCTAAATGCCAGAATAATGAGAGATTTTTTTAGAGAATTTTTTATTAATTTCTAGACAGTCAAAAGTTTACACACATTTCCTTGGTATTTCTTTAGCTTTGCTTTTAAACTGTATAACTTTGGTCAAATGTTTTGGGTACCCTTCCACAAGCTTCTCACAATAGTTTGAAGGAATTTTGGCCCATTCCTCCATGCAGAACTGCTGTAACTGAGCCAGATTTGTTGGCTGTCTTGCTCGCACAAGCTTTTTCAACTCTGCCCACAAATTTTCTATAAGATTGAGCTCAGGGCTTTGTGATGGCCACTCCAAAACATTCACTCTGTTGTCCTTAAAGCACATTTGAACTAATTTGGCAGTATGCTTAGGGTCATGGTCTGTTTGGAAGACCCATTTGTGGCCAAGTTTTAATTTCCTGGCTGATGTCTTAAGATGTTGCTTCAGTATTTCTACATAATGTTCTGTCTTCATGATGCCATCTATGCTGTGAAGTGGACCAGTCCCTCCTGCAGTAAAACAGCCCCACAACATGATGCTGCCGCCCCCATACTTCACAGTTGGGATGGTGTTCCTAGGCTTGTAAGCTTTCCCTTTTGTCCTCTAAATGTAACACTGGTCATTATGGCCAAACAGTTCAATCTTAGCTCCATCAGACCACAGAACATGTCTCCAAATATTAGCCTTTTTGCAGTGTAATTTAGCAAATTGTAATCTGGCTTTTTTGTTGATTCTGGTTTGTTGATTTTCCCATGTTGTCACACAAGGAAGCAGTGTGTTTGAGGTTTTTCTAAATACTATTCTAAGGTTGTGCCTCCAATTAACTCAAATGTTGTCAATTAGCCAATCAGACACTTCCAAAACCTTGACACCATCATCTGAATATTTTCAGAGGCAGAATAATCGTATTGTATGTAAACTTGACTTTCAAGAAAAGTTATAGCAACTTCTTAAAAAATCTCTCTCTCTTATTATTCTGCTATTAAGCAGAACAGAAACAAATTTGATCATCCTAATTTATCTAAAAGAGAAAAAGTTTAGTCACATTAACATCTGACTTTTTTTAATGGTTGTGCCTTTTTATACAGTGTGTAAACTTCTGTTTTTATCTGTATATATGTTTTCAGAATAAGTCTGATTTGGAAAATTTACTTGCTATTTTAAACATCACTTGAAAAGACTTGAAATCGAATAGGAGGGCAAATTATTTTGCCTTCATCTGTATGTGTTGATGTGGTTGTAGGGATTGACAGTGTGTTCAGTAAGATGGACTGTGATCGAGCGCTGATGGACGACATGTTGGGCTCTTCTTCTGGGATCAGAGACAGTAACATCATGACGTACCTCAGTCTGGTGGAGCAGAGGACCAGTGAACTGCTCACCATTCAGGCCTTCATTAAATCAAAGGTACAGGAAAACCACATTCACTCTGCACCAGCTACACTTTAAAAAGCAATTAGTTGATGCTACTTAAAAACTCGCTGACTTATACTTATTAAGTAATCAAACCATGTGCATATAATAAAAGTTAACTTAAGTCAATGGGATTACTGACTTTTTTAATGTAAAATTAACTTGTTGCTTTTAAGGCAATGGGTTTACTCACTTTTTTAAAGTAAAGCAACTATTTGCTTTACTAGTTATTTTACGATGTTAAAGAAATTTTAAACAAAGAATATAAAATCTTGAACAAAATGGATTCTAAGGGTAAAAATGATTTTCTGTAAAATTATAAATGCCTTTACTGTCATTTTTAATCAATTTAATGTGTCAGAATAAAAGTGTGTTTTTTAAAATTTATTTTATTTGCTTAAAAGCTTGAAAGGTTGTGTTATTAGTGCAGTATGGTTACCAAAAAGAACATTAATCATGTAAATTATAATGATTCCTTAAGGACCATGTGACAATAAAGACTTAAGTAATGATAGTAAACATTTAACTTTACAACACTAGATTACATATATTTGCAATAGATTACATTTTAAATAATTATTCAGTTTAAAAAAAAAATTTTTTTGGTATTTTTTAATAAACATTCGTGTTAGATGTAGTCATTTTCGTAATTTTGCTTTTGCTGGTGACATTTAACAATATAAATTAAATATATATTATTAATATAAAATATAAATATAAAAATTAATTGGACATTAATGCTTTATTTTAGATTTTATATGTTAATTGAGAATTTTTTAATAGTTTTAATTAAAATTAAAAGCACTGAAAATTCGGCCACACTTTACAATAAGGTTTAATTAGTTAGTCATAGTTAGTATATTTACTAACATGAATTAAATACTTGTCGAGCATTTATGAATCATTATTAATCAACATTTACTAACGCCTTATTAAAATCCAAATTCATGCTTGTTAACATTAATGAATGCAGTTAACATGAACTAACAATGAACAACTGTATTTTCATTAACTAGCATGAGCAAATACTGTACTAAATGTATCATTCATTGTTTGCTCATGCAAGTAAATGCATTACATAACATTCACTTATACAACCTTATTGTAAATTACTACCAAAAATTCTTGAGTAAAAATTGTAATGATTTCAAACGCCTGTGTAAATGTAATGTAAATAATGTTGACAGGACCTGGAGAAGAATTACGACCTGAAAGAGGTCGCTCAGTTCCTGCTGGGGCAGAAAGCAGATGTGCAGAAACAAGCATTGATGGTTCAGCCTCACATTACCAGGTGCAGCCACTCATATAAAAAGCTGCTTAAAATTTTGTGTGAGTTTATTCATTAACACATGCATTTCATTAACACATGCTCCTGTTCTTACTGTGCTCAGGCATGATTATGAAGCAGAGGATTCGTCTCTTACTGATGAGGAGGATCGACCTTTGACTCATCATGAACTTCATCGGCACATTATGATGAGCAGTGTAAGACACACAGAACAACTCTGTTTTACATGCAGCTGAATAAATTCAATTATATTTAATTAATTTAATTGATAAATTATTATTAAAATATTCTGTAACATATGGGTAACATTGTCATGAAACTTTTATAATCACTACATGACACGTGTCATGAATGTGAATGAGATGTTAAGCATGCTTATGACAACTGTTATTAAGTGTCATTTGCAGAATTATGTCACTTTAAATGCAGAGATGACATACACACCAGCAACCTTCTTGCTGTGAGGCAACTGTGCTACCCATTGTGCCACCCTGTAACCCCATGTTATTTAGAATTTTTTTTTGCTGTTAGAACATTTGCCTTAAATACACCATCAAAACCAAGCTCTGAATCAGATGAATATTTTTTATTTGATGTCCGTAAGTGTGTCAGAGCTTGTGTCAACAACATGCTGTTTGTTTGTTCTCTGTCGCAGGTCCTTCATAAAGACGAGTCTCTGCGTGTTGGAGGAGGAAAAGATGTGAAAACCCCAAAAACCAGCACATTTTCCAGCAGCAGACAGCGCTCGCTAGAGGACTAACACACCAGATCCGGTTTTATAATAAAGAAAAGATGCATATGACAGGGTTATATTCCTAGATAATTCATTACAAGATTATAAATGGCATTATTCACTTATCAAACTTTATGCTGGTCTTTGAAAAAATATTACTGGTTTAAATGAGTAAATGATGACATGAACAGCTCCACAAAACAAACAGAAGAGGGCAGCATTGAGCCATATTTGGATCTCGGATCATACCCGTAATGCTTTTCACATCTGTCATGTTTATAATGAGTCTGAACGAATCAAAATGTTCTTTTGTTTGAATTGTTTGGCAAATAATCCATCAAGTGGCCTCTTGCTTTTAAATTTCTCATGATTATATTTAAGAGCTGCAGAGTGGCAGCAATAAAAGTTTGGCAAAAGAGCAATTTCCAGGTATTGTGTCTTCAGGTTTTATCAAACATCAGATCATTTTAGCAAATCTATTTTCAAGACTGCATTTCATTTACTATATTTTGATCTATTGTGCATTTCACTTACTATATTTTGATCTATTGTGCATTATTTAAGGCACTTGAGGTCATGCAGTATTGTGCATACATTTTTAAGCAACAATAAGGAGAGTTTGCAACCTTATATAAGAAGAATATATTAATAATGCAGCATGAAATTATTTAATATATATATATATATATTTACAAACATTTGTACATCAGATAATAAATATTTAAGTTTTAAAGGAAATGTTTGGAATTCTATTAATCCAAAAGACTGAATCTCAAATTTCTCAAATATCTCAAATTTATTTATTATTATACAACAATTCATCGATTTTTATGGTCAAAATCAGAGGTATTATAGGTAATTAAGTCTATAACAATTCAGCTAAAATTATTTGAATCTTGGGCAGCATGGTGGCGCAGTGAGTAGCACAATCGCCTCACATAAAGAAGGTCGCTGGGTCAGTTACTGTGGGCTTCCTCTGGGTGCTCTGGTTTCCCCCACAGTCCAAAGTAATTATAAATGTTAATTTTTAAGTTAGATTTAATATTTAACTCTGGAAGTACAACATACTGGAGACTGTGAGGAGGCATTGGCCTCCTCTGGTTACTATTTTATCTACATATTTGCTCAGCCCAGTCTCTACTAATTATTCTGTTTATAGTAATAATCCAAATTAGCCATAGATGAATTGGGTAAGCTAAATTGGCCGTAGTGTATGTGTGTGAATGAGTGTGTATGGGTGTTTCTTAGTGGTAAATTGCCGCTGGAAGGGCATCCGCTGCATAAAACATATACTGGATAAATTGCCGGTTCATTCCGCTGTGGTGATCCCTGATTATTATAGGGACTAGGCTAAAAAGAAAATGAATGAATGAATTTGAATCTTGGAACAAAGTAAAATGTTAACTGAAAGGATAGGAATTATGAAATATTCCTTCATTCATTTTCCTTCGGCTTAGTCCCTTATTTATTAGGGGTCGCCACAGCGGAATGAACCGCCAACTTATCCAGCATATATGTTTTACGCAGCGGATGCCCTTCCCGCAGCAACCCAGTAATGGGGAAACACCCATACACTCTCACAATCACTCTCATACACTATGGCCAATTTAGTTTATACAATTCAGCTATAGCGCATGTGTTTGGACTGTGAGGGAAACCCACGCCAACACTGGGAGAACATGCAAACTCCACACAGAAATGCCAACTGACCCAACCGAGACTCAAACCAGCGACCTCTTTGCTGTGAGGTGACAGTGCTAACCACTGAGCCACCTTGTTGCCCAGCAAGAACAGCAAGAACATTACAAAAAAAATCTACTATTAATACTAACTAATACACTGTGAAACCCAATAAGTTAAGGCAACTCAAACCATTTGAGGAAACCGATTGCAACAAATCATTTAAGTTCAAAAACGAATCCTAATGAGTTCTGTGAACTTAATCAATTTGAGTAAACGAAGCAATTTGAGCACAGTAAATCCTGATGAATGAAGAGAACTCAAACCAAATGAGTACTGTAAAACCCAATAAGTTAAGACAACTCAAACCATTTTAGGAAACCGATTGTTACAAACCTGAGTGCTAAAACTAATCTATACGAGTACTGTGAGCTTACTCCATTTAAGTTGAAGTAATCAAGGTATTTAATTAACTCATTACCTTCAACACTGAGTTCAAAACTAGTATATTTTGAGTTAACTACAGTCATTTCATTTGATAAAGTTGACTGCTGATTTTACAGTGTAATAATATCTAAAGCTTAAACCAAAATTGACACCTCACTGATATTGAACATCCATAAAACTGGTTCTAACTGTTCATTTGTAAGTTAGATTTTATATTTTATTCTGGAAGTACAACATGCTGGAGACTGTGACGAGGCATTGGCGTCCTCTTGTTGCTATTTTATCAGCGTATTTGCTCAGCCCAGTCTCTGCTAAATATTCTGTTTATAGTAATAATCCAAATGGGCATAAAGCAGCGTTATCCCTTTAAGTATCTGTATCTCTTTTGATCTCTGTGCTCCAATACTCTCCATCATTCTGCAAAAACAAAAGTTGCACAGATAATGCATCAGACGCAACTCAAGATGGAAGTTTACATGCTTTGAAATCCGACCCCCTTTTAACCCCCTCCATTTGCAGAAAATGTTTTGTGTGCACACGGCTCACAGGTTACCACGGCAACACTCACCCCCTCCTTTTTTTTTATCACAAACCAGGCTCATTTCCTCAAACTAACGACTGGCTCTCGCCCACTCACAGGCACCGCCCACACTGGCAAACTGTCCAATCAGAGAGCCCTCTGGCACAAAGGAAAACTCTGACTACTAGAACTTAGCTATTTACTATCACTCCGTCTTATCTCATCCTTCCTCTGCTTTTTTTCTTCCCATGATGCATTTAAGTTCCTTCCTCTCGGTTGGTCTGTGGTTTATTTATTCTTTCAGCAGAATGTAACGTATTATTATTTTTATTCCAATGGAGGAGTTAACGAATGCGTTTAAACTTACTTGAGCATAACTGGTGCATATAGAAAAATAGATCCTTAAATCATCTAAATATTAATATAAACATGGTTGAATAAATGCAATTTAAGCCAGTTATCATTTTAGTCAATTGTAACACTTTATAAAAACCACACACTATATGAATAATCTATTATGCATTAGCAAATAGTTAACTCATTATTTGTTAAGCATTAACTCTACATTGATAGTCATTACTGAGCAGTTTATAACTGCAAACAAATGCTGTATTCTTGACCTACAATGTGCTTAATAATTGTTCTTTCATACTTTCTTACTGATTAATTTTTCATGACTAAATTAAGTATCGCATTATTTACAAATCATTTGTATTTAAGAGTAGTTGTTTTTTTTTTACAATCATTTAGAATGAGTTAGTAAAGGATTAATAAGCTATTAAATTCAACATTTATATATTATTATTCAGGCATTTAGTAATAGTTAATTCATATGTTAATAAATGCTTTATTAACTCAACTTCATCCAGTTTTGTGGCCTAATCTAAAGTGAGGACTATTCATGCTTTATAAATCCCTGATAAATGACAATTAAAGGCTCAGAATCAAACAGTGGTGGAAAGAGTACTGAAAACTCATACCAAAAATGTGGTGCAAGTAGAGTAAAAGTATCTGTTGTTAATATTACTCAAAGTATGAGTAAAGGTTAAAGTACTCAAGAGGAGTGAGTATTACGCTGTAAAAAGCTGATGTATTTACATGTCACTTGTGGATGTGTGTAAACGTAACATTCTGTAGTGCATTTAGTTATTGTACAGCAGGCACACAACGTCATAAAACATTAATATTAGGTTAGATTTTGGTTGTGACGTCAGGTGACCAAATTCAATGTCTAGTCAGCGTCTAAGGACGTTATTTTGATTTCTAATAACAACGTCAAATGATGTTGATATTTTGTTGATTTCAGGTTGATTTTAAAGTCAGATGCAGACATTTATTCTTCAGGTATGGCAACCAAAATCCAGCATTTGATAGAAGTCATAGTGGTAACGTCCACACAACGTCAAGCCGTTACATCATTAGAAGTTGATATTTGGTTGATTTTAGGTTGGACATTGACGTCGATCTGACGTTGGTTACTGACATCAACCTGATTTTCATTTCCAAACAAAATAATGTCCCCACGACATTGGGGTACCACATCAATCTGACGTCATGTTGATGTCCTGTGCCTGCTGGGTCTTTAGGGCCGTTTCAGTCATTGAACAGTAAACATCGGTCACCTTCTCATCAGTGACATGCATATAAACAGTCTCTGGGTCAATGCGTGTAAAGATTTTGGACATCTTCTTGGACAGTTTTAATGCTTCCAATATGTTTGCTGCAATTATAAATCGCTCATGTCTTGAGGTAGTATTATAATGCGATTTACCTTCTATGTGCGATTTGATTGGACAGGAATTGCAGGTCTGAGTTTTCTAATCCCCATAGACAAGACAAAATAAAGTAGGGACTACAGGATGAAGGAAAGTAGTGGAGTAAAAGTACCAATACAGCACTAAAAATGTACTCAAGGGAAAGTAAAAGTTTTTAAAACTAAATTACAATTTCTGAGAAAAACTATTTAATTAGTCATTTGAGTATTTGTAGTTTGTTACTTTACACCACTGGCATAAAATAAACAATACTTCTTTGCAATCTTATCTAACAAGTAAAATTACTGTAAAGTTTAAACATTTCAGAATAGCAGGAGTGTCAAAATATAACATCAAACTGGATAAAACAACAACAATATAATAAGTTAACAACATATTATGATACAACATTTCAATGTTATTTAGCGATGTTTAAACAGCACTACTATTTTAGTAGATTGCGAAGATTTATTTTTTATTTGATACAGTTTAATTTGTGTATCTTCAAATAGATAGAAATTAATAACGTTTAACTGAGCCTTTAATTGTCATTTATAAAGGATTTATAAAGCATGAATAATCCTTATTTTTGATGAGGTTACAAAACTGAATGAGGTTGAGGTAATAAAGCATTTATTAACATACAACTTAGCTATTAATAGATGGCA